ATTAAAGTCTCCCCAACAACGTTATCTCATTAGATTCATCGAAACCCAGTTTCTCTTCGTATCTCATATTTTTAGTTTTAAGAAGTTTTTCGAGGTTACCGGTAGATTTTGATAATGGACTTAAAGCGTAATTTTTCCATAATCGGTTGAGAAGGCTCTTCATTTCCATTGAATTTCATATAGCCATTCTTCACAAAAGGTATTCTCATCCAGATTGGGGTAGTATGCAGTTTCGACCTCGCCTTAACTGATCTATTCACCACCCCCATGACATTGCAGTCTATCATCTCGACACAGTAACCACCACGCCGCGTTACCACGATGACACTTGGGCCACAGGGCAGATGTGAATTTCTAGGACGACCAGGTATTTTTCCCAAATGCCATTCTGTGTTGGCATTGTCGATGGAGCAAAGTTGATTTGCTGTAGCATTCGACTACGTTACTTATTTTTCGTATGTAAGTAGAGTTTCTAGACTACCAGTAAATCAGTAATGTGAGATGTATTCACCCTATTTCGTCTAAGCTGATGAAGGACTGGTATGGCCTTCCTTGAAATGCACATCTGCCCTGTGACCCATGGGCACTCGTGGCAATGTGGCCGAGTGGTTAACGTGTCAAGCTGACATTCTGCACTGTCACGGTTCGACTCCCGCAGTCAAACCTGGATTAGAACACCTTTTAGGCAATCAAGGCTGTGTGAAATTCAATGGAAACGTCAGCTTTACTCATATCATTGTGGGAAAATTCTTCTACCAGTCCTTCATCACCTTACACGAAATAGGGGGAATACATCTCATATTACGTCAGGTATGTTTCGCTTACGAGTAGCTTTTTCGAGGCAACCAATAGACCATATATATATATATATATATATATATGTTTATATTTATATTTATATTTATATATTTACGCTACTACATTAATGGCGATAAAGGATTGATAATTGAGTTTTCCCTCAGTCAGATGAGTAGGCTTCATGTTTCCCGGTTTCTTAAACGGTACTCTCATGAGGATAGACTAGAGTTTCGGCCTCAGCAACTGCGTGATTGAGATATTCTGTTACTTTTTTCTTCATTCTCGTCCCTATTGCAAATCCCCTCTTCGCCCTTTTCAGATTCGAGCGACGATAAGGAGGTCCTCGTGACCGCGACCTCCAATGCCCCTTGCCCGTCTGGCACTGCTTGGCTTGGCAATGGCACCAACGGTGGCGGGGGCGGCGGTGTTGGTGTTGGTGCTGGTGTTGGTGGAGGTCCGCCTCGCGCTTGCCTCTCCACCAGCAGCGGCAGTCCGAGCTGTTGTTCTACAGAGCCCGAGTTCGAGCTCCGGCCTGGCCTGCTGCACTCGCAGGCGAGGTGTTGTGCCGCGAGTCAGCGTGTCTGTGCCGGCCTCGGCGGTGGTGAAATGCAAGCATGTCCACTCGACGCCTGTTCGACCGCCACGGTGTCCAACCTGAGTCCGACGGCCGCGAACCTGGAGGCCTATGCGATGCAGTCGAAGCAGTCGGACATGATGCACTATCACCAACCGCATCAGTCGCATCAACCGCAACATCAGTCGCCATCAGGCTTGCTGCAACTGTCGCCACAGCTGTTCCACTTCCGTCAGGCGGTGCATCAGAGTTCGAGTCCCGTCGGGATGCGCCAGGGCAAAAAGCTGCGTAAAGCGAGAACAGCCTTCACGGATCACCAGTTGAGTGAATTGGAACGCAGTTTTGATCGACAAAAGTACCTCAGTGTCCAGGACCGCATGGAATTGGCCGCTCGACTGAGCCTCAGCGACATGCAGGTGAAGACTTGGTACCAGAACCGGAGGTAAGTGGTGTTGAGTGAGCCGCACCACCGAGTTGGGCCAGAGGGGAGCGGAGGAGTGGATATCGTTTGAGTTGGGTCACCTTCAGCGATCTCACCGCCCGTCATGGTTGTTCGGTTGCGTATGGTTGCTGTGTGGGATAGACCATTTGCAATTGTGAAATCCGGCTGACTGACGTACAAGTCGTAATGCAAGAATGGGAGCAAACACTGAGGAAGACCAAAAAGGGTACAACAAACTGTCAATTTTGTATGACATTTTGAGGGCGCGACTTCAATTGAGTCTCTGGCTCGAGGCGCCGAGCA